TATATATATATATATATATACATATACATATATATATATACATACATATATACTGACCACAATATATGTATGTTAAAAATTCCAAACAGAATGTATGCAACTGGAGAAAATCTGTAACTCAATGTAGAGTTTATGTAAACATATACACACTACACATATACATATATCGCATATATGCGATTGTTGACAACTTCTTTCTTTGTGATCTCTTTAATTGAACGTGTCTGAATGTTGCGGCCTACCCTATCGCTTACATTTATTGCGTGTGGTCAGTGATTAAAATGCGTTAATTGTTTTGTGCAGACGCGCACACAATTTATTTTAAGAATTTTTTAATTTTTATTAAAACTACAACGTATATCTATAACGAACGGTCTACTAATTGTCATATATATATATATATTGGACATGTGTGGCTCTTTTGAGAAAGCTTTAACCGGCCGGCATCATAATTACTTATACACATGCACATGCATATATATATGTGGACACTTCCTCAAACCGACAATTGCTTGGAGAAACCAACAATTCGTAACAAGTTCAAGGTGTATATGGGTTAACCCATACCATAAACAGGCTAAAATGAAAAAAAGGCCTTATAGTACGATCGATTCATATGCGGTAATTTCAAAATATTACAAATTATCGCATGCGATCAAGTTCACATACGTTCGCTCGTTTCACTTTACGTTACAGAATATTCGGCTAAAAGAATAACGGTAAACGAATGCTGACTTTACAGATTCTCATAAGAAACGTTTTAGGGACAACAAAAGGCAATGTATGTTGAGGGCGTTTTGAACAAAGAGAATCGAAAATCAAAATGCTATAATTATCCTGGTGTCACTGATAGTTGCTTTCGTCGCCGATTATTCTATAAGAAGATTGTTAAATTGTGTAAACTGTGTTCACTCTGTCCTTCCACAACGTCTCGTAGGTATATTAATTTAAAAAAATTTATCGAAAATTATTAAAATTAGATTTTGTATATATAGTTTGTCCTCTTGCGTAGATCTATAGAAATGTTATTATATTAACAGTATATCTCTAAGATTCTTATGAATAGCACATAGCAAAAGGACGGACGGACGGACAAATGGATATGGCTAAGTTATTTTTGTAACAAATTCAAAAAAATATTAAATCTTTCAGAGGCCAATTTCATATATATTCACGCCGTGTTACAAACACAATTCAATCCCTTTGATTAAATTAAGGATCTTTTCCAAACTAACACGTGTACACGTTGCAGAAAAAAAAAATTAAAAATAAAATTTCGTGTCTCGCGTATGCGACAGTTGAAATGGTGAAAATGTACAATTGAAATTGATATCTCTTTCTTCGGAGAAATCCTTGAGCCTTAAGCAATGCAAAGAAAAGAGAATCTTGCGACCAGTAAGTGATTATCAGTTGCAGGTGTTATCGGCAACGCCACGTTCTGATTGATTTCCACACGTCGATCCTAATCTACGTTTCTATATTTTAGAGGACATCTACGAGCGAACGTCTTTGAATTACGAACAAGCTTGAGATAAATTGTGAAATTACTTATGCTACGGAACTGTGCAGAGATTCTGTACTAATTTCCATTTATCATTAAACGACAAGTTGTTGTTAATATTTTTCAAAAAATTTTGAACAATTTTACACGCATAATTTTTAATGTATTATATATTTATTTATAATGTATATTTATAATGTATTATATATTAAATGAAGAGCAAAATGCAATTGACAATGTAAATAATATGATATGATAACAATTCGCGTGTCACTGTATGAAAACACCCATAAGCAACTAATGAAGATGTAGCAGCTGATAATTTCTTCAAGACTTTTCAAACATTTCTTTAAGGTATAACATTAAACATTAAATCTAAGATACATTAAATTCTTTGTTCTCTTTGCGACACTTGGAAACCTCTTGCCTCGAGGCAAGATGAAGGAAAACTAAAATTTAACTAATGTCTGAAGCTAATAATGGCTACTTGCCTGCCAATGCCTCTATAAAAAGCGGATACGATTGATTATTTTGTTATTATATTAAGCAAAAGTGTCAAAGACAGATATTCTTGCGTAATATTCAAGAAACGGAAAAATACGTTCGAATCTAATGGATTTGGACTCCCTCGTGGTGAAGTAAATAAATGTTCGTCTAAAATTCCGCATCTTGCTTTACCTCAATCAACAATTGCCTCCTAGTTCGGTATAAGTGAAATATCCTCTCTTAGAATTGCGTCAAATCATAATTTCGGGTAAAAATAGCAACAATTATCCTTTCGAAGCTCTCTCCCCACTTACTCATAATATATCAAAGGTATGTGGAGTCGCAAGGAGTTAAACCAATGCAATCGACGAATACAGAGAGCATATCGTAAATCAAAATGAATCAAAGAATAGCTAACAAATTTTCGTTGCAGAGATTTGCAGGTAGAAGGTCCTTAAAAGTTAATGGCAGCGATACTAAAGCAAATACAATAATCGGACATAGTATTGAACAATTGCTTGTTTCAAGGCGTTTAGAGGAAACTATGATTTTTCTTACAATAAACAAAATTAATTTCCGCTATGAATTTCTATAGTCTTTCTACCGATTTATGCGATTTATGTTGATCGATCGGATCGAATAGTTTACTGTTTCTTTCATTTCGTAAATATTCTCGTGAATATCGTCATCATGTCATATGCGCATTCGGTGTATGCTTGCTGATAAGATCATCTCATAAAAGAAAACTAACATAGCCACAAATCTATTGGAGTCCGCTGGACTATATATATATATATATATATATATATATATATATATCTGTAGATATGATGAAGTTAACATCTTAAAAAAACAAAACTGTCTGCTTAGTCTACATAATTGAAATTGTTAAATAATAGAAATTTTATTAGTAAACATCATCAACAATAAAAACAACAACAATAACAATAAGAGTAACAAAAACAAGAAGAAATATAATTAACAATCTTGCGAAAGATTTTCTCTATGCATGCGAACAAGTAAATATATATATATGCATGTAAGTGTGCGTGTGTATGTGCGAGCATTCGCTGTCATATTTTATAAAGAGAAAGGCTCCAATTACACTTTAATATTATTTCTAAATGTGTGTACGTAGGTATCATTATTCCATGCAATAAGTGTTAAGAATAAACAAATACAAAATAATAATAAAAATAACAATTGTTTTTTTTTAGTTTTTATTCTCTAAATGCGAAGGAAATCACTGCATGGATAATAATTTTATTTAATGATCACAGGTCAACGCACATGTTGTATACGACACCCACGCGACAAAATTATGTGCATGTATACGGCAATGATACTTTCCCTCGCTTAGAATGTGTGTAAGCGTATGTAGGTGTGTGTGTGCTTACGCTTGAGTTAATAATTAGCAAATAGCAAAGTTCTATTCGCCTTGCAATGTCTCTTAGATACGTAGCATTAATTATGCCCTACGTCACTTGCGATGCAAGGATATATTAAATTTGTGCGGATGTGTGCAACATATAGAAGGACTTGAGATAGATCCGACTTTTATTATGCGGGCTGGTTTAAGATCACCTGCTCATTTGATATAACCGTACCTGTCTGTCTGTCTGTCCTTTTCTTTTTTTTTGGTTTTGTTTTGGTCGAATTTCATACACAGACGTTTTTTTTTTTTTTTTCTCAAAGCTGAATGGTATTTGTTTCTCTCGAAGTGGGCCGCGGCCCCTATAGATTTTTTGTCCACTTTTTCGATAAAAAAAATACATTTACACACACATGTTTTGGTTCTATTATCTGCTTTGGGATAATAAGCCAAGTAAAGGGCAGTAAATTAAATACAACTCGTTTAAGATTCTCATTCTATTCAAATGAATTTGAAAAATCCCATAACTGAAAACCTAAAGGGAGAAAACACGAGCAATTGCACAATGAAATTTCATTGAAAGCTATTGCAAGCCACAACTGATACGTTCAAAAAACGATGACTCTGAGCAAACTCGAAAAGTCTACTTACACACACATATATGTACATCATCGATGCCAACAATGAAACGAAAAGGTGGGTGTAGTATGACCCTGTTTGATGGTAAGCATAAACAATATATTAATGAATGAAATATTAAGATTGAATTAAAAGTTGTTGGCAGGAAAATGAATTCAGACGAATTGTTAATCCCAATAATAGAAACAATATTGTCTTAGCGCAAAAGTAGTTGCATATGATAACCAATTGGGTATAAGAGACCACGTGAAGATCTAAATCAAAAACTCAACAGCAAAGTGAATGTGATATGAGTTTGTAGACATTAAGTTTTTCTACTATTATTATTATTATTATTATTATTATTATCCGTAATTACATTTAGTCGTGCGCTCTAATTTTCATTGCATTTTTCAAGAAACATGCTTACAATGATTAACGCTTATGCTTGAATGAACGCCTTTAAGATTAAGATTGAAGCTTATTGACCCATTAAATGTTGCTCTTAATTTAATTAATAAGCAAAAGGAAATAATGTTAAGAATAATATGAACGAATATTTTTAAATAGATTTTATTCTTGATTTTAATTGCTTCTCCTCTTTCTTTCGTGTTTATAAAAAAAAAAAAGAAAAAAAATGGAAAAAAGTAAACAGAGTAAATTTCCAAGTACTTCATACGAACCATAATCCCTTATAAAAAAAAACATCATAAACTATCATAAGCCACTTTTTTTTTTTTTTTGTTTTATGAAATTC